GCCCAGACCACTGCTCCTCTTACTCCCAACACATCCTGTGCAGAGCAGGAGGAGCTGCTGTCACAATCTCCAATTCCCCAACCTCCTACTCTACCTTTTGGCTGGATGGCACTTTTCAGCTGTCTAGCTGAGCTGTTTCAAAGTGGGAGGGAAGGAGACTGCATAAAATGTAGAATAGCCCATGTCCTGGACTCCACAGCTTCCTCTCTTCTCCTTGCACTGGAACAACCTTTACCTGTCTACAACCAAGTTCAGTTTCCTCCAAGAGGGAACTGGTGTAATTCTTTTGTGTGAGAGAGCAGAAGAGGAAGAGAGAAGTTTAGATTCCCAGCTCCAAAATTGAAGCTATGTTCTTGCCCCAAAGCTGGGAAGCCAAAGTATCCTCTGGCCTTGCAGATGAAGTCTAGCAACCATAAGATTGCTCTCTTAGGGCTTGAAAGACCAAAACCAGCACTCTGAACTGAGGCCAGAAAGCAACTGGAAAGCAGAGGAGATCATTTAGTATTGGAGTGATGTGATCATGATACCATGCACTAGATGTATTGATTCAGGCATGGCTGCAGCTGGTGTACTAGATGTAGTTGTGCAAATACACTGCTCACCATCACTGCCATGTAAAGAGCTAAGAACTGAATAGGATTCAGGAACACTCCAAAGTTAGGTATAATTTGGTTTTGTGTGGAGGGGATGGCACTGATGCCATATGGGTGGCATCTCTGCCCAAAACTCCAGATGACCTCCCCCAGTGGTTTCATGTAAATATTCACCAACAAAATGCAGGAGAGAAACCTGTGGGACAAATAGACTAAGAATGCCAAGCAGTAATCCCCCAACATCAGCCTCTGGACACAACTTGACAGGAAGTAATAAAGTGCCTCCAAGGCCCAACCACACCAGACAGTCAGGAAGATACCATGGTTGATGGCATCAAAAGTCAATGAGAGAAAAATTAGTAAAGCTGCACTCCCCCACCATCTATTTCCCAGTGGAGGTCATCCACCAAGGTGACCAAAGCAATATCATTTGCCAATCTGACCTGAAAGCCCAATTGAAATGTGTCCAAATAATCAATATAATCCAAATGCATCTTGATTTGCAGGACTACCTGCCTTTCAGTTAGCTTAGCTAAGAAGTATTTGAAACTGATTGCAACTTCCATGTTGGGACAAGGGAAGTCTTATTACTGCTTTCTTTAAGCAAGGGGAACATCTCCACTAACAATGGAAGCATCAGTCACTTCTCTTAGCCATGTGACCAGTCCCATCCTGGCTGAGTTAATCAACCAGAATGGGAAAGGGCTGAGTAAACAAGTGTCTAGCTAACTTGCCAACTTCCTTGAGATCCACAAGCTGAAAAAAAAAACCTCCAAACCAGTAGGACCAACCAGGACCAAGATTATACCTGACCTGTCCCAGCAAAGGTCCAAGTCAAGATGAATCTGAGCAACTTTATCCTTATAGAATGGGGCAAATTGTCCATGTGCAAAACATGCTTTCTGTGAATGAGCTACAGCCCTTCCCTATGGATGTTCTAAATCCTCAGGAGGAGATCCTACTTTCCTGGGATTGTCCCTTGCATCCTGACTGATGTTGTCTTATGTATCTGAAGTAGAATCTTCAGGGCAAAGAACCTGGTCTGAAAAACATTTCAAAGAACCAGGCTCCTGTTGAAGCAGGGAAGGATATTGCATGTTATGAATCCACTACATGGACTATCATCCCTGTAGTCTGCAGTGCTTTCATTTTGTCACAGAGACAAGAGTGTGTGTGGAGGGTATAGATATAAATAGCAAAAAATAGGCAGACATTCTACCCTGCACTATTTTGTACAGCCTAGCACCACTATATAGTACCACACCACCACTGTTCTTGGTCTCGACACACAGCCCGTGACGATCTGGCTGTTTGTACATGGAGCACTGCCCTAGAAGGCGTTTGGCGGCAGCTGGGAAAGAGATAGAACCTCAGTCCCAGCACCACATTCCAGAGATTAGATTAAAGCTCAGCCTTGATCTGTACAGCTTGGCTGGCTCCAGTGAAAGTTAAAGCAGCAAGAATGATGGGACCCTGATTAATCCAGCAGTCAAGGGCTTCCAAAAATACAGTGAGTCAGAGGGACACAAGAACCGGTAAGGAAGAGCTGTCACTCATTAGCTCAGGATTCCCCTCCCCACAATTCCTCCTTAAAATGTCAAAGGTGACAGCAATTGATCTGGGGTGCGGGAATTTGAACATAGTTACCACTGACTGGAGAAAAACAATACACTTTCTAAGGAAACTATTCCATACCATTAAAAGGAAACTATTCCATACCATTAAAAGGGAAACATTCCATACTGTTAAAAAAAATACCCCCACCCATCCACCCCGCATAAGATCAGGTCCAGCTGATAGCCTGCTTTATAATTTTTGTCATGGTGTCATGTTTATAGCAAATGCACAATGGCTGTTTGCTCAGGGCATGGCTGGTGTCCTGATGCCGTGTGCTAACTGATGCTAATCCAAGGGAAACACTGCTGAATGCCTTAGAGACAGATACCTCTCTGTGGGCTGGGGACCACCAATGGACCTCAGCCCTCTTTCGGATGGGCTTCCACGTGGCAGCCCACACAGTACTGCCTCACTTGATCGCCCTGCCCCACAGCCTTTGGCTAGCCAGATGCCAACACCACCAGCAGCTGCAGCAGCTGCTCCCTGCATGTGTGAGTGGGAGCTGATTAGAAAGAAAGGCTGGACAAAGGGAAGGGAAAAGATGGAAAGGATGGCAGGCAGAATGGTCAGACAAGCACAAGAGGAGGAAGGGAAAGGATGCAGGAAAAACATCCCGACAAACTGGGAGAGAAGAAAAGCACTTGGAGCGGCTTCTTCGTCTTCTGGTCCTCTGTCCATTAAGAAAATAATCTGGCATTAGGACCTTAGACTGAAGAAAAAGTGACTTTATTTATTAAATTTGTACACTGCTTATTAGCCAGGATGGCTTTCTGGACAGTTTACATAAACATAATAGCAACATATGCAATGAATCAGTAGTATTAAATCTAACATATATACCACAACAATAAAGTAACACCAGTAAAACACAGTAAAAAAACCCCCACAATAAGAACCTCAGAGCAGCCACAATTAAAATCAAACCAAGGGCACAATAGCACAAAATTACAATAAATACTCCTGTACTTTAATAATACATTTAATAAATATTATTTACATTTATTTATCTATGTTTTTATAGACTGTTCTTTAGCAGACAATCCCAGAACAATATGTATTTTAGTACAATAAATATAACTTGGTGCAGACAACTTGAAGGTTGAATATGGGTGACATGTCGGTTGTCATTGAAATGTGGGTTATTGTGTTGTTTTTGAACCCAGCTAATACAGCAAACCATGCTAAAGAACCAAAAGTCCACAACCAAACAACTACGGGTTCTCTTCATGGGCTGTTTGTGCTTAACACGTTGTGACTTGTTAGCACAGCTAGATTCAAGCCACATGATCAGCCATGTTTTAGCAACAACCCACATTTAACTCAAAGTCCCTGAATATGAGTTATCATGATGTCTGACTCCAAGCAGTGTGGGTATATGTGCATGAAGGGAACAGGAGGAGGAGGCAGCAAGAAAACAGCTCAGATCACAATGGAGTTATCTGTTAAAAAGAAAAGAAAAGAAAGTGTACATATTTGACAGCGTCTTGCATTATTGATCTAGTTCCATTCAAAGCAACAAAGCCAGTAGATTTTAAAAATCTTTAATGCCTAAATCCTACAGTAAAGCCATTCTAGGGAATCACCATCTTTGAGAAATCTTGGGTGGCTCAGTGCAGAAGAGTGGAGAAAACCAAACCCTGTGCATGTAAAAATAAGAAGTCTTGTTGTGCCGTCCCAAGCTCCAATAGGCAGGATCAGCAAATCTCACCACAGACCTTTCCTTCCTCCTATTCCAGAGCCAAGTCCACCATTATTCAAAATATCACCCTTTTTGGGTTGGGGGAGAGCATAGTCCAAGTGATGGAGAACCTGTTTTGTATGCAGAAAGTCCCAGAAATACCTGGCATCCCCTGATAGGGCTGGAAAACAGTCAAAACACTGAGTTGGATGAACCAATGGTCTGATTCAGTATAAGGTCTACATTCTGTGGCATACTCACTTCTATGTCCCAAACAGGCTCCTACTCATAACCCATCTGGTTATCAGCATAATTTTCATCTTCCCACATTCATTTGCACATTTATTATTTTTTAAAATCTCCAATACCACCATAGCACCCATTGGTCACACCCTTGACTTGTCCATGCTGAGCAAAACATTTGCAGATGAAATGATTGTAAAAAAGCAATAGAAAAGACAGAAAGTCTTTATTATATATTTGTTATTTAGGCTTCCACATTGCATTTATAGCAGCAATGCACTGAGCACATCTTAGTTTTTCAGTGAAGGAAGGACCTTGCCCAGTGCATGTACCCTTAGACACATCCAGGACCAAATCCACTTTAATCAGTGGAGATTCTGATAGCAGTGAAACCTCATACCTAAAGCATCGTAGTGTGTGGTGCTGGTGTTAAATGAACTTTGGATATCCATTTCTTTGCATATTCCCCAAGGAAACCAGTGTTTTAAAACTGTGATTTTTGTGTCAGGAATGTAAACAGGGCTTAACTAAAGGCCATATACACCTCTGACTCACCAGCAACCAATAATAACCAGGGCCATTAAAAAGAGAGATATTGTGGCAATGAACCTGCAAGGGCAGGAGGAGGGCACATTGGTAAATCTAGGAATGCAGGGTAGTAGCCAGTTCTTCTGCATGAAGCCAGATTTCTGTCATGGCTTTGGATAAATAGGCTACTGCTGCATTCAGGATTTTCCATCCATCACCTAATCCGCCTACGCTGAACTCGTCACTTTACTTTTAAAATAAAAGAGAGGCAAGAAAGAGGCTAGGGCCAGAATGAAAGTGAAGAGGTGATATCTGAGAGTACTGGGGGTCATCCTAGACTACTTCACTCCCTGCCACTGCTACTAGTCCATATATAGCTCCTGACAACTGGAACGTCCAGGCTCCTCTCTCCACACACTGCCACGCTGTCACATTTCTGCTTCTGAAGTCTGAGAACAGCTCTTGGCCACTGCTGTGGTCTTTGGGCACCCACCACAAAAGGATGGCAGAGAAGCCGGAGGAGCCCCAAGCCTCGCAGAATGGAGAAGAACAGGCTGAAAATGCAGAGGAAGCTGAAAAGCCAAAGGAGCTGGAAGAGCTGCCACCGTTTGAAATTGTAACGGGGTAAGAGGACTATTTTGCCTCCTGTGCAATAGCAGCAAGTGCATGAAAGTCAAATGATGCTTTTGCTCAGAGATTTGTAGATGTGGGGCAGGCCAACGTGTTGTGCGTTTGTTTAAAAAGAGAGATTTGCCTCAGGTACAAAGTTTTGCTCGTTAATGAGGGAACCAGGTTCTTTCTGAGCCTTCTAACAACATTTGGAGAGTCTTATATTTTATCCAAGTTGGATGAACTGAAAGCACACCCAAGGCAAAATCATTTATTTTAGAATTAGTTTTATGGCCCCAAAACCTTCACTTTCCCTCATGGGGAAAATTCACACCCATGGGCTTATTCATAGCTCATGATGTTGCCTTCTGTTCAGCTTCCCACCAGCCTGCAGAAATGTCATGCATTTGTTTAACCTTTTCCGCAGAAGCAGCACCATTTAAAAAGAGAGAGGAAACTTTCTCATAGAGCAAAACTAGAAAGACCTAGGATCTAAGCTAACTCCTAAACTGAGAGTAAGAGCAGCATTTTCTGGTTCATATCTGGGTACTTAAAATCAATTGGAAAAGTCCAATTGCAGCAATGAAAGCTAAGTCTACTTACCAGAGCGGTGATATGAATACATCATACAGCAGTCATATAATGCAATCAGCAAATCTTTAATCATAAATAGTAATGCAGAAAAATATCTAATAATCTACTCTTCTACACATGACTAATATTCATTATAGCAGCATATAAATAAGATACACATCTCAGGTTAGAACTGCTATACAGAATAAATCTTTATTCTGTTATGCCTTACCCCAATTTCTATACCTTCCTGTTTCCATCATGAAACAAATAAGATCTGGTCATAAACTTTAATCCAGGACCTGAATACAGCAATTTAATTTTAGTTGTCATTTTGGGTGGGTACCTATGCAATAAATGAATTTTTCACTAATCATTCTGAGCTGATCTGTATAGATGTTGCAGAGAACAGAATGAGACGCATCAATTAAATGCTGTTGATGGGGTTTGCAGCTAAAGTCCAGAGACAATTCTTTGCTGCCATTCAGAGCAGGGGCTTTCTGCAGCTCCTGGTTACAAGGCCTTAAACTTCTGCTCTTTCGATGGATATCATCTTACTCTGTTCTATAAGAAGTTAAACCACTCCAGGGGAGAGGAGTAGTTTGAAAAATAAATTGTGTTCATTCCTTGGTCTTGCTACCAAAATAGCTTAGAGCAAATTGCAAATATCCTCCTCAACACCACAAATTTCTGAATTACTTGGAACTAGGAACTTAAAGCTCCAATCCTATACACACTTACCTGGCAGTGAGTCTGGCCAAACCCAGTGGAACTTCTAAGCAGACGTGCATAGGATTGCACAGTAAATAACCCTTATCACAAATGTGACAGGCGTTACATAGGGCCCCTGGTAATTGCTTCCGGTCAGCAGGATCACAGATCAAACAGCAACATGGAAGTGAATGTCTTTAGTTCGGACAGCTGTGTTTATGTTGCCAGAAAGGCCAAATAGTGATGCTCTTCTGGGAAAGTGAGAATAGAGGATGTATGTACGATATCAGTTTCCCCTCCATCCTCCAAGGAGCTCAAGATGGTGTATATTATAGTCTTCCCCACTCATTTGCCCCTCACAATAACCCCAGGAGATAGGTCCATAGTGATAGACTCAGGTTTGGCCAGTGACTTTCTGGAGTGTGTGGGGTTTGGACCTGGGTCTCCCCAACCCTAGTCTGATGCTGTAGCCAACCATTACACCACACTGGCTCTGTGAGAATACTGAATTATTGAAAGTGATATTGCTGCTGAACTGATTTTTTGTTTGGCGAAGAAACACAGTGTGCTGTAGGGATTAAAAGTGCAGGACTGTGACTCATGAGACCAGGGTTCTAGTCCCCGCTCAACCATGCAGCTAACTGGGCAACCTTGGACCAGTCACAGACTAAGCTCAAGCTACCTCATAGGGCTGTTGTGAGGATAAAATTGAGATGAGAATTACGTAAGCCACCCTGGGTTCCTTGAAAGGAAAAAAAGACAGGACAGAAACAAATGGGGCTACAATGATTGAATTTATTGGATTACATTATTTTCTCTGTGGTTATCACAGCTTCACAAGAATTACCCTCACCAGCTGCAATCCATGAAACTTTCACAGTTGCCTGCTGCAGCAAAAAATAAAATAAAATAAACAGAGTCTGGCAATTCCATAAATACTTCACTCATTTGTTATGGCATGTACTTTTGTGGACTCCTGCCTAGTTCACCTGCTTCATGATGTGCTATCCCAAGTTCTCAAATAATATTTCATGCATCAGGTGAAGTGGGCTGTGGTCCACAAAAAACTTATTTTGTAATAAATGTTTTAGTCTGTAAGGTTTCACAAGACTCTCCCATTACTTTTAACACACAAGATTTCTAGAAAAAGACATTTTGGCTCTGAAAACACATTAAGAATTTCAGCCTTTACTTTAGGGAAGTCTTCTTCAATTTGGTGTCCTCCAAATTTGAAGAATTTCATTTCCCAGCATTCCTGACTGCTTGCTATCAGGTGGTGTTGATAGAAATTGAAATACAAAACACTGGGAGGTTGCCAGGCTGGGGAAGTCTGCTTACAGCTGAAATGACTAGAGGCCAAGAAACATCCTAACAACACTTCTCAGACTTTTTAAAGTTCTTATAGCTTGATTGATCATTTATTTATACTATACAGGATTCACTTCTTCATATACATTCTCTGAGGGGTTGGTTTTTTTTAGTTTGTTGCAAGAAAAAGAATCTTACTGGCACCTTAAGACTAATCACTTTATTATGGCATACATCTTTGTAGACTAAATCCATTTCTACCAGTATATCCCAGACTATTATGTTCTGTTCATCCAGCATGCCCAGAAGGCATTCATGGAGATGTCAGATATGCACTCCCACATTTAAAAATTAAGGATTATGCTGATTTTAGAGGTTTAGCAGGAGCCATGTTAATCTTTGAGTCACTGAGGTTTTGAAATAAAGCTGTGGTTGACAGAAGAAACATCCAGTGGTGACATAACTGTGACATAACTATATGAATGAATGTACAGCTTGCAAAGTTCTTCACACCTTCATAATTGCAGCCACCGCTTTCAAATGGGGAACAGAGGCTATGGAATTAGGAGTTGCAAAGGCCACTGAATAGGCCCATGATGAACTGAAACTTGAACCCAGGTCTAAGTTTAACTACCCTTATATTAAATTCCTCTCAAGTAGTAAGATTAATACCTACTTAATACAAGAGGACACACTGGATCACTTCAGTGGTCCTCAAAAGCTTTGAACATCTGCAGCAAGACAAACAGGATCTTTTTCCTTCTTTTATTTTATTTTTCCTGCAAGACTCTGGATGTTTTCAGACAAAGCTTTTATTGTGCCATCACCCTGCATCATGTATGCAGATTTACAGGGTCCCCAGCTGGTACTACCCTTTCCTTGTGATCCTCCTGTAAGGTCTTTCTTTTTACTCTCTCTTACATCTTTTTCCTTAATGTAAAACATCTGTTAAGAAGAAAAAGATGAAATAATTGCACAATGGCCTCTGATTGCTAGCACTAGGAGCCATCCATCTAGAAGCACCCAGCATAACCCCTGTAGCTGCGAAGAGAAATCCTGGTTTAAATCTTGTTTATTTATAAGCTTCAGTCTGATGAAGCCCATCATCCAGCTAATGAGAAGATTAAAAACACCAAACATACCAGCATTTCTACCTAATTATCCAGGGGCAGTTCAAGCATTTCAATTTCCATCATTGGATTAGGAAAGCTGCATATTCTCTTGCCAGGTTTTTTGATGCTGCTCCAAACAGGTGCAGCTCTATAAACTGTGCTGAGAATTCAACCAGCCTTTATAATTAAGAACATCCTCCTCCCGTTTTCTACAGTGTTATGACTTGTCTTAGAGTATCCATGTACATTTTTATAGACTCCTATGGAGGCATTCATTAACACTTCATTCTTCTGCAATGAAAATGAAACCATCAATCAGTAGCTACAGCCTAAAGGACGGAGTAGCACAAAGTGCAAATCCTTCTACTTCTTGGCAGTGGCATACCATTTCCCAGCCATGTGAACAGCTTACAGATGGGTGGGCAGGGAAAGATCCTAGCACCATCTCTGATAAGACAGTGTACAGCAATTCTGGTAAAAAAAAGACAAAGATACTGAGAAAGCACTTGAGTGCTATCAGTGGAAGGCAGCATTATCTGTATCTTGCACAGAATTCCATGAGGAAAGGATAGAGAGCAGTTGAAATAGATTCATGTGGCAGTATTCTTGCAGGACATTACTACGGGGCAGCATCTAGTGTGGCTTTACACTACTTCAGTTTTGCTGTGCCCCTTTGATTTCCCTCTGTAAGCAAGGCCCTTGTGTTAGCAGTTGCAAGGCCAACTGGAAATGAGTGAAAACTATCATTTCTTGAATGGGACCCATCAGCAGATCTCACCATAGGTTGCTCTGTCAATTTGTCTCAAACCAGAAATAAACATTTCTGCTTATTTTAGGGCTTCATCTAGGAAGTACTAAATCTCCACTATGCAAGTGGCAGGTTCTAGTTGGGATTGTCACAAATGCAAAAGAATGTAAAAGATACATACCTTTATATGATGTTTTCAGCAGGAAAATTCTTCAGGCAGAGTGATAGGAGGTGATAAGTTTTTAAAAAACTGGAAGCAATTAATGTTAACTATTTCTCAACTTATTATGCATTTAACTATCTGGAGAAATGTTGAGCAGCAACAGTTTGCTTTACATAAACTGAGAATGAACACTGTTACTGGTTTGCTCAAACCTAGAGGACAGTCTTTTGCTTTGCTACCAATGCATATGGATTGCAGCTAAGTGCCTTTGGATTAATTCAATTTGGAATTTTATTGTGAATAAAATTCCATTAGGGCAAATACTCCCTACACTTATATAGAGTTGCTACTCCTGTAACTTTCACATGATTTGTAATGCATCTTGCATTGTTTCTTTTTC